CCACAAGCGTGGCAAACCCGCACTCAAATTCCTGTACACAATTATCAATGAACAATAGGTAGAGGGTGGTCCGAGCACTGAAACTCGTGAGATTTCACTCTATATGATTATGTGTCTCGATAGTTTTCGTCCTACGCAGACATATTGCGAACTACCAACAAGGAAATTTTTGATCCACGTAAGATATTTGCCTTCGATAGCCATTACTCTCAACTTGTGTAGGAGAGGCTGGTATGGAATACTGCCAAAGGGCTTCTGGAAATAGTTTCCAGGTATGGTTTTCTTGGGAATAACTTACCAGTTGAAATTTGGCGGCTGACTAGTCTATCCATATTCAAGCGAAGACTGCACATTTATCTTAACACCAATTCTATTAAACTTTTATTTTTCTCATCTTTTCCGGGCAGCCTTCTCAATGACACCGAGAAAGGACAATCGAGAATAAAGGATGCCTTCTTGAAACTATGTTTATCTGCCTCATGTCCCCCAGAAACCACTATGTCATCTTAAACCACCAGTTATTCAAAAGATAAAAGTCATATGGACACACAAACACACACACACACAGTCTAACCTGCTCCATTCTGGTTCCAGAGCTGTCGAACCTCAGTGTTCACTGACGCTTTTTTGCGAGCTTTCATTTCATGCGCACTTATGATCACGAACGAATTATATGGACGTTTCATTATCTCATTCTGAACTGCTATTGTAGTATGCTACCCATTTATCGTATCTTCCTAAGCATTTTTTCTCTAATACTCCTTTTGAAAATGAAAGTCCTTTGAACACTGCCTCCATCTTCGGCGTAGAAGTCCTTTCACTGCCTTTTTCCTAGTTCATAAGCGATTATAAAACACCGCTATCTATTGCCCGAATAGGACCATTTCTGCCTATATTATAACGAATTTGTACATTTTATCTGCGCACATTGTGGTAATGTTAGTTCGGGGCTAAGTTTTTTTAGACAGTGCTTTCCTGGCGCTAACAAATATAAATTGCAAATACATACATGTACAATGTATGTACAATGTATTTTGCATCAAAAGCTCTTGTTTAACTTTGCCTCTTATACAGCACGCCGGTTACACAATATCTTCCCCTACAAAAGCGATATTGCGCATTAGACAAGGGGTTGTGTGTTTCCAAGTAAGTCAGCACTTCCTTTTTGATTATTATCTGCATAACCTTGTAGTATTTGTATGTCAGGCTAACGAGTCTGTAGTGTTTCGCAAGTGTACGGCTACTGCGTTTTTGAAGCACTGCATCGTGGGCTGTTTTACAGTCTATGGAAATACTGCCAGTATTGAAAGTTTGCTGACACGAAATGGATAGCAGTTTGACCAGCTCTCTAGCAAGTTCAAATAGCAGTTCAGCTGGAATTTTATGTAGACCGGGAAATTAACCTTACTTCAAGCTTTTCACTCCTTCACAGATCACTTCTTCCCGAAAGAGAATAACCCAAATAATTTATGTTTCCGTGACCTCGTCATTACGTGAAATTTGGGCAGTTTCTTTGGGGAAAGCCGACCAAAAATATTTTGAACAATGCCTGGCTTTGTTTGTCCTGTCCGATACCATGAAAACCTTATGACTCCTCATAACAGGAATAGGGTTCACATTACGAATGCCCTTTCGGCGATAGATATTGAGCAACTTAAGATTTGCGACTGCTCCGTGAAGAAAATCATTGTGGAAAGCCCGTTGTCTTTTAAAAACCCAACTTCTCCCTTGTTCCGCAGAACTTTTTATTGTTTGATTACTGCATTTTAGTTAGGTCCGCAAAATTTTCTCCACAAGTTTCCTTTCTTTTGATCTTTAATTTGGATGCGGAGTTTAGCACTGAGGTCCATTAGATATCCTGGGCACTGAGAGGGGACAATGCTTCAGCACTAGATGCAACAACCACTCCTTAAAAAGATTGTAGTTTCCAGTGACATCCCCGGGAAAATGAAGTCCCAGTTAATTTATGATGCCTCAGATGTCAGTTGACAGAAGTCGTCTTGCCATATGTTCGGCCACCATTCGTTAATTATAGGCGGTACAAACTAAAGACCGTAATCCGATGAAAGTACTTTATTCTCACTTCGAACAGACGTGGTAGGCAGTATACCTGGCATATAAACTCAGAATGTTTGATAAAGATAAAAGTGTAACAACTAGTTCCTTCTGCTCCAAATAATCTAGACATAAGCAGTTGTTGGGTAAGAATTCCATCTGTTATCTTAAGCAGACATAATTAGAGCACTTGGCCTGCAATACGGTCCATTTGGTGCCGGGTGCATCGACTACACCCATGTTCCTTCAACTCGAATAAATACACCCTGCTGCATCTGATAAATCTACAAAAATGGTTCCTATACTTGGCTTCAAGCCTGCCGTGCGTCGGGGCTTCAGAACACCACTGAGTTTCTGAAAAAAAGAAACAACTCCTACTGATGTTACCACTTCTCCTCCTAAAAGGAACAGGGTGTGCTAATTG